TGAAATGCGCTGACATAAAATGCATAGCTCTTGATGTAGTGTCCAGGTTATTGAAGTTTCCAGAGGCCAAAGGGATGCTTGGCATCTTCCAATGTCCTGGTGGATGTGATAATGTTATTAAACAATGTCACCCCAATTAATTTAATTTAAAAAGTTATAAAAAGTGCTGTCTCATTTACAAGAACTGAAAAAACTGATTTTCCAGTTAACTGTGGAATTTCTTCCTTATATAGCTATTAGCATTGGTACATGAATAATTTTTGTCTACTGATATTTATCGAGTTTGTGTATATTCTGCCTACAATAGTACTGAATGCATTTATTATATAAACGTGAGATAACCCTATGATGATTTTATTAATTCCATCTAGTAGATAAGAAAAAAAAGAACAGATTATCTGTTAAGGTCCTACAGCTTTTAAGAACTGTAGTTATTTAATGTCCATGCTATAATGATCTCTTGGAAAGGAAAATTAAATTTTAAGGATCCATTTGAACCCTGAAAAGAAACATCTGAGTTTAGTGTAAATGCAATGTGTTTTTTTAGGGTGTCATGCAATAAGTTTGCTTATAAATAATGAAAAAAAATCTAAAACATTGGTAACAGGAATGCAGACCAGGTGAACCTAAGGGCACTAATAATCATAGAACAAGGTACGATAACTACATCTTAAATATATTGAGTGCAATGTTTGAAGTGACGAACGTAAGACTTCTACTTTGCCAGCATCAGATCATATACCCCAGAAGCCTGCATTTAGTTTAGTTTCCAGTTTTAAAAGCAATAGAGGGAAGCCATGCCAAACTGCAGCCAGCATAATGTGGTGGTTAAAAATGTGGGCTCAGGAATCTGATACCTAAATTCAAACCCGAGTTCCTCTTAATCACCTTGACTTTCAGCAAGTTACTTCACCTCTCACTGCCCCTGTTCTCTCACAGGAATACAGCAGCAGCAGCAGCAGATTTTACCAGCATTGTTGGCAGGATTTAATGATATCAAACATCAGTAGGATACATGGTAAGTACCAAATGAATTTCAACTATTGGAAGGAGTTTATAATAATGATGCGATTTGAAATATCACTGAAGAAACAAATGAACAGAATTTAGAGGAGAGTGACTCAGTTTCTATGGCTTCTACAGCCATCGATTTTCTCATGGGAAATATAGAGCTTATCCTTATTTATTATTTATCATTATATTATTTTCTTTTTAAGTATATTTTATTGATTATGCTATTACAGTTGTCCCATTTTTTCTCCCCTTTATTCCCCTCCCCTTTTTCCTTCCTGCACCACCTACCCTCCAGTATTCCCCCCTCTTAGTTCATGTCCATGGGTTGTACATATAAGTTCTTTGGCTTCTCCATTTCCTATATTATTCTTAACCTACCCCTGACTATTTTGTGTCTACCTATTATGGTCATAGATTTTTCAATCTACCCAGAAATTAATGTAAAATAAATTCTTATTCTGAAGATACAGAACTTTATGGAAATTACAGCTTAGCAAAGACAGAATGGGCGTTTCAGATTTAAATATTTACTTAGGCATATTATAGGGGACATTTACAGAGTCTTGGTCAAGATAACCTTTAAGCTTCTTTCACAATTTGAGATTGTATGAAAATAAAAGCAACCTTAGAAAAATCATATGAAGCAATTGCTCTTCTTACTGCAAACGTCTGCTTATGTAGAGAAATCAGCAATTTCTAATCATTTCATCCTGGAAGCCTAAAATTTCTCATGCGCATTGATCCTTCAGTTCCCTAAATTACTAGAATTATTGACAAAAAGAACTTAAAGCACACTGTCTAATAGAAATCTCAATATAAATCCACAAAACCTGTTTTGAATAACTATACTCATGTAAAGAAAACCTCGAGAATGAAATGATCAAGGCGTTTCATAGGAAGATATGTCTAAGTCCCCAGCGCTGGCACAAAAGATAATAACTTCAACAGATTTACTTACAGAAAGATCCTTTGGCAACTAAAATAAAAACATTTTGAGAAATGTTCTATTTTGAGAAAGCTGCAAGATTTATCAGTAGAAATTCTTCCCATATCAGAAGCATAATTGATGTAGCTTTATTCAAAATTAAGCTTTATAGTGCTGTAAACTTTAAGTTGTGAGATGAATAAGTTCTGAGGATCTAATGTACAGCATGGTGACCACAGATAATAAATAATTCTGTGTTGTATATTTGAAATTTGCTAATAGAGTAGATATTAAGTGTTCTCACCAGAAAAAAAAAGGTAAAAAAAAAACCTATATGATGTGATGAATATATCAATTTGTTTTCTTGTGAAATTTCACAACATATATGTGTATCATTAAATTGTATACTTTAAATAATACAATTTTATTAGCCAATTATATAAAAGTTAAACTTCATTTAAAAATGTGCACTCTAGAATGCCTATAGTATTGTGTTTTTGTTGCATAACACTTATTTTAGTATTAGGATAATTTTTTTCATTTCTACTGATAATATGTAAAGAACTATTACTTCAGTTGGAATAACAGATTGATCATATATAATGCAGCTTGTAGATTCCTTTTGTTATTTCTTTGTATAAAGTCACTACCTGTTTATGACTGTTGTACGAAAAATAAAATAAAAAATTAACTATGCTTTTTTTACTTCCAAAAAAACAGGGAAAGAACCTTCTATATAATCCTTTTAAACATAAATATATATGAACTTCTGAATCTTAAAAAAATTACTCTATTTTGAATTGCAAAGAAACATATTTTTAGAGTTTTAACTTAGTATAACATAAAGGCCAAAGAATGCATAATTAATTATATAAACAAATAATTACATTTTTCTCTCATTTGTTATAGATGAGAAATCATAATCTCAGATAAAGCAAGATGTTAACACTTTTAAAGAAATCTTAAGACCAAATTCTCAGAAGTACAGCGCTCTCCTAGTAGTAAAAATCATGAGTTTTTAAGTCAGAATGTCTGCATTTAAATCTAGAATCTATCATTAAGTAAACTTTACCAAGTTACTTACTCTCTCTAAACCTCAGTTTTCCACTTGTAAAGAGGGTTTTACATTATTATGTATCCTTATAAAATTATGATCCTTTAATGAAATAAAACATCTAAATAATTTTATATTTTCTACTTGGCATAGAATAAGTATTATGTAGTTGTTTTAAATTACTGTTATCATTAGTAGCATCTGCTTACTCATAGTCCATTTTATGATAATAGCTCTGGGAAGGCAAACAAACATTTAAAGAACAGAAGGTAAAGCAGATTTTCTCTATCACAGGCTTTCTTAGTGCCCTAATTCTCCACAGAATGTGGTATCCTTCTAAAGGGAAACGAAGGAACCTGGAGTCTTCATCAACCATGGCTTTTCCTAGGTGGCAGGCACGGCTAGCTGGGAGTTAAGATTATGATGTGTGGCCATGTTTCTGATGTTCTACATACAGGGGTGTCCAAACTTTCTGCGTCTCTGGGCTACACTAGAAAAAGAAGAGTTGTCCTGGGCCACACATTAAATACATTGCAACATGTAATGACAAAAAAATCTCAAAATATTTAAGTAAATTTACAATTTTGTGTTGGGCTGCATTCATAGCCATCCTGGGACGCATGTTGCCTGCAGGCTGTGGGTGGGACACCCCTGCTAGAACTTGGTACAGAACAAATCAAATCAGGACCTATGAGACAGAGATCAATATACTACTGCTTTTTAAGCTAGTGGTCTCCAAAGTCACAGGGGAAAAAATTTAAGCATGCATCCTGATAATAATGTATAATTATATCTATGACCTAATGTACTGACAAAGTACATTACAAAACATTCTGAAGGAAGGACTAACAGAAGGCCTGAACCATTCTCCACTTTCCCTGGGAACATTTGGGGTTAAGATAAATGGGGAATGCCAGCTGTGTAACCAGTCAACATTATTTATTATTGGTATTTATTATTGGTGAAATGCATTGGGTCTAGAAGGGGCTGTGAGTGAACTATAAAATCATGTTAGGACTCACAGATCTTGTCTTCCTATTTGCAGTGCGTTCTTACAACTGAGGTCATTCCTTGAGGAGACCTGGGCTGTAACCAAGATACTGGTTCCTGTGGGGTACGAGCCTTACCCATGGCAAATAGTCCATGCCTAGCCATGTGGTCTGGTCATCTTAAAATCGAGTTACTACTTTGGGGATAAAGGAGAGGAAAAGGAAAGTGATTCCTGAACAATAATGGAGGCTCCCATTGACATTATCCTGTTGACCTTCCATGTTTCCTTTACTCTATCCTTCTACTAAATGAAGCGAACCTGCAAATATGATACCTATTGTGTCATAGCAGTGTGAGTCCACACAAAACCACAAGTCCACTCTAGTGATCGTGCAGACATATGCTTATGCAAAATTATGTAAGTTTCTTCCTCTGACCTAATAGACTACTTCAAGCACCGTGCTTTTGAGAACACTGCTTGGATTCACGTACTTTTCAGAATATCGGGTTATATTCTTTGTAACAAGCTTAGAATACATTATTTTCTTGTGATTCTCAGTGTTTTTGGCAACTTGGTCTTTGGTCATTGTAAATCTTTGGCTTTCTCTACAACTATTATTGCCTCTAGGCCTGTCTAAACTAAAACCTAGTAGTACCATCATTACAAATTCTGTAGTAGAGAGTCATAAGGAATTCCTGAAAATATAAATACTACAATATCTTCTAGAAGTTATTCACTTCTTTCTTTCTCAAAGAAGTTATCAGGATATAGCTATAGGGAGCTTGAAAAATTATAACATTGTGGGAAAAGTAACTCCTTCAATTTTAGTATACTTTTATACTAGTTCCATTAAACATGCTATGCTAAAAATAAAATTATTTCTTCCATTCTTGACACTACTCTCAATTCTAACTAACCAAATAATTTTACCACTCTATATGAAAATTCCTGCAGGTGTATCTTTCATTACCCCATTTTTAAGTGCACATTTTTAAAAATATATTTTTATAACTTACCCTGAAACATGCAACATCAGCAGCATGTAGAAGACAAAGAAGAGATTATGAGTGTACCAGAAGATGTCATACTGAGAAACTCTGGAAAAACAAATAACTTAGTTTCAATGTCACTTTACATTCCATTTCACTAAAATGATTGTGCATTTCAAACACGTCACAATTGAAGAAAGTTCAATTATGGGTTCATCTGAGATCTATGTATTATACCAAAGTATTTACATACCATGCAGAGAGAACTGACAAAAATTATAAATATCTCTATCATTTTGAAGGCTTTTTTCTATTTGAAATAAAGACACATGGAAAGAATTGAAATAAGTTGTTTAAAGTTATTGTGATGTAGGGCTAAGAAGCAGTTATAGTCTGCTTATGTGTGTTTTTGCTGCCTTTTTATCAATAGTCTCAATTTTTAAATGATTTTTAAAACAACTAAGGTTCCTATTCCAATAAATATTTTGAGAATAGTTTAAAGAGAACCCAAATTGAGAGAAATTAAAGAAATACTCATTAAAGTTTTATATTCACTTCCTGGACAGTGTATAGCTTAAAAACATCTCTTTGTAGCTACTGTCCTATAGAACAATGAGACTGAAAATGCAGGAGTATGATAAACACAATCTATAGAATGTTTGACAGAAGTAAAAAACATAACAGTTATTTTGTATGTCCGTGTGGATATTAATATATTAGAATCTTGGAGGTGGAGGGCAGGTATTTTTTTAAAGCTTCTCAAAAATACAGATATAATCCCTAGATACTTTCAGAACCCCTGATGTAAGCAATGACCAATTGATTCACATTTACTTCATTCAGTTTTTGCTATCATGAATGAAATCATTAACATCCTTGTAACATATGCCTTTTTGCACAATCTCTTTTTTAGTCTAAATTCCTACAAGTTGAGTTGCTAGATAGCAGGGAGCACATTTTCAATGCTTTTCATACGCACTGCCCATTGCTCTCCGAAAACAGGTTTATCAACTACAAATCCAACTTTAGAATAGGAGTGCCTTTTTCCCCAAACCCAGACTCCACTGTGTAACTTTTTATTATTTTGGATAAGTGAAATTGGGTATTATTTCATTTGTGTGTTACACACTTTTAATTCTTCTATTACTTAACTATTCTTATTTCTATAGGGAATTTTCTTTAATTGTTGTGAGTGAAGTATTCAAATTAAGAATGTACAAGTTCCACATAATTATAATAAAAACTTGTCAAATAACACAATCACTTTGTTAAATTCAAGGAAGAAAACAAAATAACCTATCTTGGATTTTGATTGGAATTGTAACAAACAAAATAATTGAGGAAGAACTTCCTCTTTTCATTATACAGTCTTTATTCAAATCTCTACTCATTTCTCTCTCAGTGAAGTATTGTTTTGCTATATAGTTTTCGCTTAGTTCTTTATAAGTTTATTTGTAGATATTTTGTTTTTGTTGCAATGAGTAATGGAATCTTTATTCAATTTTCAATCTGATAATAGCTATTATATAAAAAAGTAATTTGTAATAGTTGTTTTGAACTCACTTACTTATTTCAACTATTTTATTTGATATTAACAGTATTTTTTCCACAATTCTCTTGGATTTTCTGGCTAGACAATTATACCTACCTTTCTGGAAGTAATGACAGCTTGTTGCTGGATTCTTTTTAATAATTCTAAATGTTTAATTTCTTACCATATATAAATAATGACATGCTTTAATGGAATTAAACTATCACTTTGGCTTTATCATGATTTTCTTAGGAATGTATCTCATAATTCACTGGTAAGTATGATCTCAGTTTTGGTTTTTATATTTTTAATTCATAAAGGAAATTGATTTTTAGTTAACTGATTATTTTATCTATTCAGAATTAAAGTTCAGATTTAACAACTGTCATTTCAAAGTCTACTGAGATGAGGAAATATATTAGTATTATTGTCATTTGTTAGTAGAATATATTACTTTGTTTAATAACTGACACATATTGAACCATTGGTGAATTATTAGACAACATTCAATATCAGAAATCAAATACTGAAATCATAATTATTCACCTGTTTTCTCTAGTGTTTTATTTCCTTAAAGTAAAGAGAAAATAGAAGAAAATTATCTTCATGATCCATTTAAGTATTTCATGACTCTCACAGTGAAGGTTGGAGAAAAGCAGTTAGTTTTATAATCTCTTTCAAACAAATGAAAAAACTAACAAGACATAGTTACTAAATTATTTATGTAATGGCTCAGTTGAGAAGAAAAGCTGACTATATTCCATTTTATAATACTATCACTCAATTAAGGATTCTTTTTTCTAAAAACAGAGCATTTATATATCTTCAATCTTATAAATGTCAGATATCCTAATTTTTCTTCAAGAACTCCTAAAATTTAAAAAGTAAGCTTTTTTATGAATTATTGACCTAATTAAAATAAAAGTTCCCCCTCACAATTGTCACCCTGATGCACTAATGTTGGAGATTTGCCGTTCTGTAGGTGATTTTTAATTCTGATGAAAAGTTACAAAAATGGGCTCACCATCTGACCCAGCTGTTCTCCATCTAGGTATTTTTCCATAGGATGTAATTGAAAAAGTATGCAAAGACATATGGACAGGGTGTTTGTTTCACAAGTGAAATACTGAAAAAAAAAAAATGGAATCACCTAAAACCTCCAACAATAGGAGACTGGGAGGGTAATGTACACGGTAATATGTTGTGTCATCAGGAAAGTAAAACCTGTTCAAAACAAGATCTAAGTAAATAGCTGATTTAAGATAGTATATATAATATGGTCCAATTTTGGTAAAATACATATATATGAAGAGACAAATCAGGAATGTGAAAGGAAGAGAAAGAGTGACTTTTGTAGAGGTAAGACATGGGGAATGAGCAAGCAAAACCAAGAAGAATGAAATGTATAAACATAACACCAGGAAGTTTATAGCATTAGTATCTGAGTGGAGCGTTTACTTGAGAGATTTCTGTGGTTTCTGTTTGCGTACATAGAGGTTCAGAAGTGCAAGGATAGACTCCTTTGAGCATGATGTAGAGCAAATAGTTTCAAAGTATGTGTTTGTGTGTGTGTTTCCATTACATTTCACATCTCAACAAATAAAATGACTATTTTTGAAGACTATATAGTTTCTTCTTTTTGCTTTCTTAACCAAGAAGTTTGACCAGTAACATAAAATACTGTAAAATACTGTGAAAAACAGCTGTATCCAGAAAGAACACGTGACTGTTCACAGAAATGTGGATCTGCAACTGTTCAAAATTTCTTAACTAGAAGAATAATGTGAATGCCGGTATTTTTATTATGTTAGCAGATGTCAACTAACCATGTTTCCAAAGCTTTGTTTAGAATACATTAAAGTCCAGCAAACCCGTATCAGGAAATGAGTTATAAAATAATTTTAAGTGAAATGTTCCTGTGCATACAAATTGAATTCAATCCCAGGCCTCACAGAGATACACTATCCTCCAGAAGAATGCTCCTGAAGAACTCAAATTTCCATAGTTTAAAAAGTCTCTATACACAGTTACTTACCAACCTAGAATATTTGAGTAAAACAAAGGGATTTATTTTTCAGACACAGGAAATGATATATACAGAAATGTCTGTACTTCACTCTTAGTTACACAGAATTGTGTATTCATCAGAACACTGCATTGGCTAAGCATTCTGTTCATTCAAGTGGGTTTCTACACATGAAAATGAAGGTAATCTGAAGAAAATCTAAACAATCTGACCAGTAGATACTAAAATTATGACTGACACTCACCGCATTGCATACGTGGAAGCTGTGACCATCAGGAAGAGCACCAGTACCATACACACTCCTGTCAGGCCTGGAACTATAAAAATGTACATGAGTACATTTTAACTTAAGTCATACTGAGAAAAAGTACAAAAATCATTGCCTTAAAATCCAAAGTATTATGTTGCTTTGTGGGAAGCCCACTTCAAATCACATATCTCCTGTATGTTGTCCCTCAAAAAAGCTTTTTTTAAACTTAGTACAATTTTAAGATATTTAAGGCAAAGCAGTCTTTTCTAACAATAACAGAAGAGTTTCCTTTTATACTTGTAAATATTCCACTCAGAATGGTGAATATGTACATACTTCTATAGGTACATATTATACCAAATGTCAATAATTAATACATGGCACAGGTTTGACGATTAACACATATGGGCTTGGTTTTCCACACCATGGTACTAAACGCTCTTGCTCTCCTCCCCTCTCTTATATAACTAGTAGCTCTTTCAGTTTAAATTTCAAATAATTTTTAATAGGCTAAATTATCTAGAATAATGTCTAAAAAATAAACAAAACTTAAAGCTTCCTGAAAACCATAACTCCAACTGTAGAAAAATATTTAACTTCAAGAAAAAAATTAGTGCTGATGTTTTCAGAACACTTGCAGAAATATTTCCAGTAGTATGGAAAGCATGCTGAAATCAGTCCTTCTGATATGACATAACATTTATTTTTTAAAAACTAAAATGTGCAAATATGTTAGTTTTTAAAACTAATATTGATGTGACTGATTGCTAAAAATCTGGTGTTAGCTTGTACAGCATGTCAAAATGAGTAGCTCATATGCCATATCAAAAAGAGCTAAAATAAAAATAGTCTCATTTCTTATTATCTTTTTACTACCAAATAAAATATCTTGTCTATAAGTTACTTTTATTATTCTTAAAATCACAAGCAACAGTAACTCCCAAATGTACTAGCTGAGATTCCATCTTAAATTCTCTTGGAAAACCTAATGAAACAATTCTGTCTCCAAAGTACAGGTATCACCCCGCTTCTCTTCTTGCCAAGGAACCAGCTGTGAAACAGAAGGGCCATCATGGACTGTAAGCCACTAGCAGAAGCAGACAAGCTGGGTACGATATAAGACCAATACAGTTGTGCATTATTAGGATTCCAGAGAGTTTATAATCATTGAAAAAATTAGAAATCTCAGTACAGCTGGTTGCAAGAGGCCATCAGAGTAGGAGAATCTTTCTTGCATCTCCTCCCAGAACCAAGTTAGAAATAAAAATAAAGAGGGGAACAGTCACCTGAAATAAACAACCAAAGACTGCATAATGAAGAGACTTTTAGCCAACGTGGACAGAAACCACCTCTAGACCAGGGTGAAAGCATACATCTTTTGTCCATACCCACTGACCTTGGGCTACGATAAAGGGAGGGTGGCGTGAACTGGAATTACCAGAGGAAAATATGGAGTGGGAGGCACTGGGGAGAGATGTGGAGAAGTGGCTGCTGGCATTCCTATGCCAGGACATACTCAAATACAGCAGCAACCATTTTTCTTGAGAAGAGCAAGCCTGTCCCAGAGGAAAAGCAATTATGCCACCCTGTAGGATACCGCTTGCATCAACCTCTGAAATCCTGCTCACCCAACGCTGCATCTTTTTCCCCCCACAGGGCATCTTTACCCCTGCTGAGGAAACAGAAACATAGGCAGACTCAGGGGGTGTCAGGGACTGGCTTTAGGGCATGGTCATCCCATACACTTTCCTGGGGAACCAGACTGGAGCTTCCCCCTCACGGGAGAACCATAGAAACATCCTCCTGGTTTCTGGCAGACCCACAGTCTGAGCTCTGAGGGCCCCACCCACTTTTCTCCTATAAGCTTCAACCTGCTGAGTTCAGGGAAATAATCTGGAACAGGATGAGATACTGTGCTCAAGGCCAGGGGAACATACCCACGATCTTCCCTGAAGTCTAATCATCACCTCCAAGAGATCCCATCCTCCCAACTCCACCAGAAGCCCTCTCAGAAACAGTTGGGTCAGGGACCCCATTAAGACTGACAGAAGGACAGAAGGCAGAGGCAGGTGGAGGAGGATCATGCGGTGCCTTGGGACATTTTCTGACCCACTCCTAGGCTTTGTGCTGTTAAAAGCCAGTCTTACAGAGCAGCATGGCCCATCCCATGCATAGCCAAGCCCGGAGGACACAGACACAAACTGTGGATCGCTTGTAGCTTCAAACAGGCTGCTGAAGGCCATAAGTGGACAGCATCTGATATTGGCTTACACCAGCTTCTGAAAATATCAGAGCCATATCCAAAAAGAGATCCCAGCAGGCAGACACTAAACTCCACTGAAACAAACTCCACCTTGTGTTTCTCATTATTTTTGTTTTTTCTTTTTCAAACTCTTTATTATTTTCTCTTTTTTTCTATGTCTTCTTTTATATGTCTTATTTTACTCTTTCTTTTTCTTACTCCATTATTCCTTCTTTCCATTTAGTTTTTTTTTCTTTGTTATTTTGTTTACCATTCTCCTCTTTCTATTCCTTACTCAATGTTTCTCTTACTTCTCTCTTCACATAATAATTTTTTTCCTTTGATCTTCCCATATTACTTTTTTCTTTTACTTTTCCATTTCTCTTTTGCTTTTATTATTCTTTGTTCTTTTGACATTGATTTTGCTGCTTTTGGGAGGTGTACGCTTGCTTTGGCTTTGTTTTTGTGTTGTTTTGTTTTGTTCTGTCAGTACCTGTACAACAGCACACAAGATGTTCTAAGGGTTGAGTCTCTCACACAGCTAGCTAGGGGGGAGATCTCACTGACAAACAGGCCAACACCAATCAAGACACAATACAACAGGAGAGCCCACATAACCCACACAAGGAACATTCCTGGAACATTCCTAGATCTTCCAGCTCAGGAGATCAAGCAGACTGTATCACTGGGTCCCACAAGACACCCACCACAGAAGGCCACCCCACGGAGGCAGGGAGGCAAAGCAGATCAATCTAATACATAGAAATGAACAAAAGGGGATAGCTAAAATGTGGAGACAATGAAACAACTCCAAACAAAAGAAAAGGAAGAATCCCCACAAAAAGAACTAAATGAAATTGAGGCAAGCAACTTATCAAACATAAAGTTCAAAGTAATGGTTATAAGGATGATCAAGAAACTTAGTGAGAACTACAAGGATCTTAGTAGGAATTACATCAGCTTGAAAAGGAACATAGAAACTATGAATAAGACACAGTTGGAAATAAAGAATGAAATATATGAAATGAAGAATACACTAGAAGGAATTAAAAGTAGGCAGATGAAGTAGAGGATCAAATCAGCAATTTGAAAGACAAGGTAGAAAAAAACAACCAATTATACAAACAAAAAGAAAAAAAGATTAAAAAAGAATGAGGATAGTTTAAGGGAACTTTGGGACAACATGAAGTATAACAACATCAGCATCATAGGGATATGAGAAGGAGAAGAAAGCAAACAAGGGATAAAAAAAAACTTGTTTGAAGTAATGACAGAAATCTTTCCTAATCTGGTGAAGGAAAAGTCAAACAAATTCAGGAAGCATGGAGTTCCAATCAAGATGAACCCAAAGAGATCTACACAAAGATACATCATAATTAAAATGGCAAATTTAAAGGAAACAAGAAGCTAAAAGGCAACAAAAGAGAAAAAGTTAGTTACCTACAAGTGAGTTCCAATGAAGCTGTCAGCTGATTTCCCAACAGAAACACTTCAGGCCAAAAGAGAATGGCATAAAGTACTCAAAGAAAATAAAAGCAAGGACCTGCAGCCAACATTATTCTATCCTGCAAGGCTGTCATTTAAAAATGAAGGCAAAACAAAGAGCTCCTCAGACAAAACCAAAAAGGCTTAAGGAGTTCATTACCATAAAACCAGCATTGGAAGAGATGTTAAAGAGACTGCTTTAAGAAGAAGAAGAAATAGAGAGAAGAACATAGGTTCAAAACAATGGCAACAAATAAGCACCTATCAATAATAATGTTAAAAATAGAAATGGACTAAATCCTCCAATTAAAGACATAGGGCAGCTGAGTGGATAAGAAAACATAACCCACCTTGGCTGGTGTGGCTCAGTGGATTGAGCATGGACCTGAGAACCAAAGGGTCACCGGTTTGATTCCCAGTCAGGGCATATGCCTGCGTTGCAGGCCAGGTCCCCAGTCGGGGGTGCAAAAGAGGCAACCACACACTGATGTTTCTCTCCCTTGCTTTCTCCTTCCCTTCCCCTCTCTCTAAAAATAAATACAATCTTAAAAAAACATAACTCATATACACATATATGCTGTCTATGAGAGACCTACATCAGAACAAAAGATTTACACAAGTTCAAAGTGAGAGGATGAAAAAGATATCCATGCAAATGGAGACCAAAAAAAGCTGGGGTACCAATACTTATATCCGATGAAATAGACTTACAACAAAGCCCATAACAAGAGACAAAGAAGGTCACCACATAGTACTAAAGGGATCAATCCAACAAGAGGATATAACCCTTGCAAACATATATGCACCCAATATAAGAGCATCTAAATAATAAAGGAAATCTCAGAGAACTTTAAGAAAGAGATTGACAGTAATACAGTCATTGTAGAGAATTTTAACACCCTTCTGTCACCAACAGGTCAAAAAATCAAAAAGGAAACAGTGACCTTAAATGACACACTGTATCAATTGGAATTAATTGATATTTACAGAACATTTCATACCAAAGCAACAGAATACACATTCTTCTCATGTGCACATGGATCATTCTCAAAGACACACCACATGGTATGACACAAAATAAATCATAACAAATTCCATAAGATTAAAATCATCTGAAGCATTTTCTCAGACCACGATGGCATAAATCTAGAAATAAACCTCTATTAAAAAACTCAAAAACATTCAGCTACATGGAGGCTAAATAGCATGCATTAGATAAGGAATGGGTTATCAATGAAATCAATGAAGAAATTAAAAAGTACAAGGAAACAGATGAAAATGAACACGCAACAACCCAAAACATATGGGACACAGCAAAAGCAGCCAGAGAGAGATGCTTA